TGACGTCCATGCGAATGCGGTTTGTTGTGTTGTATTTCTGTGGCAAACGCACGTGCTACCTTCTTGTTGTTATTGTTGTTGAAGTTGTAGTTGTTGTTGTTGTTGTTCTTGGTGGTGGTGGTTCTTGTTGTTGTTCTGCTTGTTGGTGGTGGTGGTGGTGGTGGTGGTGGTGGTGGTGGTGGTGGCGGCGGCGGCGGTGGTGGTGGCGGTGGTGTTCGTGTTGATGTTGGTGTTGGTGTTGTTGGTGCTGTTGTTGCTTTTGTTATTGTTGTGGTTGTGATGGTGGTGGTTGTGGTTGTGGTCCTGGTCGTCGTCGTGTTGTCGTCGCCGTTATTGTTGCTGTTGGTGTTCTTGTTGTTGTTGTTGTTGTTGTTGTCGTGGTTATTGTTGTTGGTGGTGGTGGCTATTAGTTGGGTGTTACTTGTCCAGAGATTTGGCTTCATGCTCCGCATAGACAGCGACAGCACATAACGCTAATCTACGACTACATCAACCAATCCACCCTCCTGGGTTGCATGAAAGGTTGCAGCTGAAGCAGTGCAAGCTGTAGACACTCAAGCTCAGCATGAAATCGCCGGACAACAACTGGAAAACACTTCCTTTCAGGCCTGCGACTTAAGTTTTCCTAGACATTCAGTGCTATGAGGCCCCCACCACCCCGTTGCCATTCTCATCCAGCTGATGCCACAGCTCACGGGCATTCCCAGCGAAGCCGACATCTTTCACGGCCATTTTGAACCTGAGAAAACCACTACAAGTGTTTGATTTTCAGTTAGGCTCTTGTAGCTTGTAGTTGCTTTCGGGCTTCGAGTTTAGGGCTTGGGTTTAGGGTGCGGCTTAGAGTGTGATAGGGTTTTGGCTGCAGGGTCAGCAGTGAATTCGGCGGCGATGGAATCTGGGAGCATGCATTTTGGAACGGTTCGCGTTGACATTCGCATGTTGAGCAAAATACAGGTATACAAACCGCTCCAGGGCACGATCGACGTGGAGCCGCATGGATGTACGGGAGCACTCAGGGTGCAACTGGAGCAGGTATTGGACTGTAAACCTTATAGACCCTAAACAACTTCTGGTACATGCTCTACTGACGAATACGTAATAATCATATTCATTATGCCTTGGCGTTCCTCATGCTAAGTATACCATTATATACCCTACGACCCTACGACTCAGCCAAGGCGCTCGTTGTAGTCCAGTTGCCCATTCCGGTCACGATCCAGCCCTTGGCGCCAGGCGCGCACGTAGTTCTGGTAGGATTTGAGCAGCAGCGCCTGTCACACGGGCTTACGAAAACGGTGAGGGCTGCAAACAGCCCTAAGCCATCATTTAAGGTCTTGTGGTTTAGGGCTAAGGTTCCATCCTGTTCTAGGGTGGTGTTGCGGTTTAGGCCGGGGGTGCAGGCGGGGTCGTTGGTCAAACGTTAACTATGTTTTCTTGCCTCCCGCCCAGTCAGGGCAAGCCAACAATGAAGGTCTCATACACAGTGAAAAGAATGGTTCACACATCAAGTAGACTTCAAGTTTGGTTTGGATAGCACGACGTGTAGACCAATCCTTGGAACTCGTGAAACTTTTCTGTCAGCCACCAAAACAAGTCTCTCCCTTGATGTTTGAGAAGCCGACCCAGGATGTAAGAACTACCTGAAGTTGCGGAATCTGAAAATGGTTGTCGCAGTGGCTCTCTTTAGCAACTTCGGTCTTTGGGGATAGTGACACCCCAAAGCGGAAAGGACCAGAATAACACTTTGTATCAATCGACAGTGTCGTAGGTCTACAAAGTCTAAGGTAGGTTAGGGTCTATTGTTTCGAAGCGCATCAAACAAACAGTCTTCAGGAAAAATGAAAGGAATCCAAAAGTCATGTTGAGGTATGAGGGAAGTGTCCACGACCTCTGCCGCCTGTCCCAAACCCTACGAAACAGGTTACCATGCCAGTAGAGTCCTTAAAACCGTAGGTTCCGTAGGTTATCGCATCCCCCGGAAACCCGATTGGGAGGGCCTTGAATTGTCTTCGCCAGTCTTTCTCCTGAGGGAAGGCTAGGGGGCTAGGGGCTACGGTTTGTGGGGTTTGGTTCAGGGATGAGATTTGGGGCCATGTTTGAGTAAAAACCACGAACCGTTGAAGATCGGAACATATCGGAAGCGATGAACACTAAGTGACCCGGACGCCTAAGATCCCCTGCGTCCACAGCTCCTCTGGCGCACTCACAGGCGGCAGCCACTGCTCCACTGGCTTTGCCCAACCTTGCGCCAATGGCGCATTGATCTAGGATGCTGGATTCCACCATTCTGGTAACACGAAGACATAGCATAACGTCCAATGAAGAGAGCGCTACAAGTGTGTGTACATACATGTACGCGCATATTGTAATGTACGCAGTTCTGTACACACAATGTCTGTGCAGTTCCATGAACCTACCGACGGGTGGTACCTCGTGGCTTGACCGTGTAAGGAATACATGGGTGGAGCACTTTTTCTTTTTCCTAACGT